AAAAAACGATTGCTTGATAAAGAAGGTGGGAAGAGAAAAGGAGGCAAGTGATATGAGGGAAGGAAAAAAGGAACAGAGAGCAGTGGATATTTTTCTTTCTATGTGTAAGTAGGTGTGGGTGTTTGTGAGAGATAGTGAAAGGGGGAGTCGAGTTTCAGAGCCAACATTGGGCCAGATTCATCAAATGGCCATCAGCCGAACAACAAGATCTCAAGAGAAAACCCAGCAAACAAACCCAACTCCACCTAATATCAGAAAAAAGGTTTGTATGTGGTTGAGAACATCCATTCTCTGTTTTCTTTCGGTTCTTCTGTGCACTTTCTGTGTACTTAATCTTTGTTTTTGATTTTATGTATGCACCATGACACCTAGTCAAATTCCTCGTACGTGTGAACCTACCTGGCAATAAACCCGTTTCTGATTCTTTTATATTTGGTTATTTGTGCTAAATTCATTGATTTATTACCTAATTTTCAATTTTTTGACACAACGTTTTTCAAACCATGCACATTAAAGGTAGGGTAAGTAAGTTTGAGAAACCGGCTCGAGATACACTTTTTGTTATATTCCATGGAATGCTCTTAACATCCCGATAGCAATGAATATCTTAAGTGCTTTGACAAAAAATCCATAAAAAAATGTCATCTGTGGAAGCCGTAGTACTGTAAAAAGCACGACCAATCATTTTAGCTGGCCCGGCTAAAATAACTGGATGGCCTACCTGCCTGTCAGCCTTCCATCTGTGCACAAACTTATCTCGTGCCCTCATTGGTCATGTGCGCGTTCGTGTGTGTTGGAGGAGGGGCTCTATAAGGAAGTGGCAGATTTTCTCCGGTTGTGTATTTTCAAATTCTAGCGATCTCGAGCCGGTTTCTCAAACTTACCTACCCCACCTTTAAGGTATCCTGTTTAAAGAAATAACAGAAAACGGTGAAAAACAGCTACAGTTGCTTGTTGACTTACTAATGTCTGGAGACAGAGAATCAAGCTAAGCTGAGTGGTAACGGATTAAATAAACTCTGGGTGGGTCATATCGGAGCCCACATTATGATTCCTCCCTGTAACAGGGAGAATGGGCCAGGCTTATTTCCTTAGAATAAAGAAATCTCCTATGAGGAATGAATGCAGCAGCCAACATCAACAAACCCCTCGAGGTGCTCCTAACAGAGGCATAAACACTGTTATAAAATATATGCTTATCATCACAACAGACAGAGTTGATACATAGGCTAGTTTGTAAGGCCTGTACTACGAAGCCGGATTTTCGCTTAAAAGGACTGTTTGCTGAATATTTTTCCGTTATGGAATGTTGGTCGGAGATAAGACGCACTATAGAATTGTGACGGCATCTGGCACAATTTTCTGATATTTTAACGACCACATAATAATAATAATTGTGAGATTAATTAATAGCCCTAACTTGCTTCCATTATTATTATTGTTTTTAATATATAATAGTTTTCTGTCTAGGTTAAACTCTGTTCTGTTCCTGTCTGTGTGTCTTTTGCGTTGTACACCGCAACCCAGCGAGGAGTTTTGTTCTTGTGTTTGCAAGTACAGTTTTTAATCTTGCCTGAAAAATCAAGCTTGGGCCTGCATGATCCCAAGGATGTAGATGTTTAACACACACACACACACACACACACACACACACACTAACACACTAAAAAGAGAATTCTGGATAGTGGCTGCGCTTCACCTCAGTTGTACTGGTGTTGCAATGCTAGTGAAAGGCAGTATGTTACAGTGGGAGGGGGAAAAACAGCTTTTTTGTTTCACTCTAACTCTAGAATAGTCTGGATGACACAGGCTGGACCTTTGTTGCAGTGCTCTGTCTGTTAATAAGTGTGTTCTTTCTCAGGGTCCTGCTATCCAGTGCATTTAACCAATCTTTAAGATTAGTAACGCTTTATTAAGACATGTTATTACAAGCCAGACAGCACACTGGTTTTGTTTCAGCTTGTGAATCTTTGTGTGTGTGTCATCACCTCAGAATGTGCTCAGGAGACACCTACTGCAGCTGAAACTACCACATTTGTGTTCAGATTTTGTCACGAAAAATAATGTTGCAACAGTGAAAGATACAGTACTTACATTTGACAGATGTGTTGTTGAGATTATAATGAAGGCTGAGTTTAAAGAAGGGTGTGGTCCTGGACATTCTCCCCCCTTCACTTTACAAACCGACCCATTTTGCATTTTTGTTATTTTTTCGAAAAGTAATTGCAGAAAGGACCAATACTAAAGAGGAGTTTTTTTTTTTTGCATGAAAATCTCCAAACTTTGTATTCTTGTTGTCACCTCACCAGCCCTCCACTGTGTTGCTCATGAACAACACAGTGGAAGCTGTCGAAGAAGTTGAAATTTGTTTACGAGCGCTTTGCCTGCACATATTTTCAGAGTTACTGTTATTTACGAGCATCTGATGGTTCCGATCACAATTTGTCCTCTGTGATTTTAGTCTGAAAAACATTCACTAATGTGCTGTTTGCCAGCACTGCCTTGCAGACATACATCTCAGAGCAGCTGATGGAGTGATGACTGGCCTCACTAATGACAGGGGAGATTGATGTCACCTCATTGTCAACATGCCATAAACATGTAATGATGGTGCTACACTGAGTCATGTATTTTACACTTTGTCTGATGTTTGACATGACACTAACATTGTCTAAAAGAGCCTTGTCTTTATAGGGCAACACGTTATATTTAGAGTAGTTGGATACAATTAAGACAAACTGTCTAATATTAGGATGTATTGTCTTGGGGGTAGATTTTTATAAACAAGTTTTAGTCTGGCTTTCTTTTCAGCTTGCGGTGCTAAAACTCATAGGGCTCAATTCTTTAGCATTTGATCTCTTTTTCTTTATAAACATACATTGTGTTTTGGGTGTTGTCTTTTTTAATTCATAAGCCAAGAATCCTTGAGCATGTTGCTCACAAACTCCCAGCAGTCAACTTTTCTCTTCAAAACTTGATATTTTGGTAAAATAGACGATAAGTTTGTTGCAGGCAAAGGTCTGTCTGAGTATGTGTAAGCTAGCCTGTGTGATCTTCATAGCACTCTTTTATCATTGACCTTTCCACATTCCACAACCTGCTTCTGGAAGTCAGTCCTCATTGGCTGCAACACTGCGTGCTTTGTTTGAACTGGGCCTCGGGATTGGCAGGTTTGTGTGTTGTGTGGCTTCCATACTTGTGGAACAGTTCCTGCTGTATTTAGACTTTCAGAGGAATGTCAACAGGCCTTCTCCTTATTGGAGCTGACACCTTGTAGTCTGTTGGGACCAATAAAGGTATTCTGATAGACAGTAGATAATACATCATTCAACAAATGGACAGGTTTCTTAGTTCACTTAAGCTGGCTTTGATAAGAAACTCTTATAAACTATGTTTTAAATATTCTTTGATGTTATCATGAGATTTAAAAGTGACTGGTTCATTCGTTCAGTTATTGATTCTTCTACATTTGGTTGAAATAGCTTTTGTGATTAAATGTTCCATTGCAACAGTACATTTACATTACATTTCAAGTTTCCTGTTTACACTGAAGCAGCTGATTGACTTTGCAGACTGCCTCCTACAATGTTCATACAAATATGTATACCATTTATACAAATATATATATCTATACAAAATAATAGTTTTAGACATAACATAGTACATAACTTAAAATATAGGATTTGTTGTGGATATTGAAAACTATAATGTTAAACGTTGTGTTGTATAGGAAGCCACCCTAGTATAATGTATACAATTGGATTTGTATTCATATATCAATACATCTTGTTTAAGTATGCCTCTTAAATAAGTGTTTGTATTATGTGTCTAAACTGTGCAACTATTTGAGCAGGACACACAGCCAATATTTTATTTTCTTCGCAAGGAGCAATTCTGAACTACATACATCAAAAAATAGTACAATGGATGTGACTAAAACAACACTGCTGCCACAATGGCCACTCTGTTTTGATGTGTTGAAAAAGAGTTTTGGCATCGTCTCACCCTCTGTCTGTGGAGATGGATCTGTTTATATTAGCAGACACACATGGCATTTCACAGCAGCCTGCCTTGATCGGACTGCTATAATCATTTAAAGCATAGATACTGTAACTTTGTTGTTCCACAAAGTGAGTGTCATGTGATATCATGTCAAAGTTCATTCGTAATCTTCTCATTGAATGAAACAAATAAGTCTCACCAAAGAATCTCACCAGTCATCCCCTTTTGGCTCACTTGATGTTTCATAGGGTACATATTCATTACTCAATGCAATCATTGACTTAATATTCGCATTTCAGAAATGTATGCCTTTTTATTGTTATCAAAGAAGTAACATATGATCACAGGAATACAGTAGTAGTACAGAAGTACCACAGTCTACAGTTTTATTGGAACAAAATATCAACTTTGACTGGATAGTTTTGATTCAGTTTCATTCATTCAGCTGTCTAAATGAAACGATTAGATGAACACTGAACCTTAATCAATAAATCATTTTCTAGCCAAACATTAATGAGTTATTTTCTCCTTTGCTGTGTTATTGATCATTGGAAACTGAATTTATTTTGGTTATGGACTGTTGTTTTGATTACAAATATAATAATTGGTGTATACTTATTGTTAGGTTGGACTAATTATATCTACCATATATATTTGTTTGCTCTGAAGCTTGTGATGTTCAAGTATTCAAATCAATTAATTTTGTATAATTAATATTTCCTAATTAAACTTAATCTTTAATATGAAATCATTATTATTTGTAGATGTTTGTATTGTTAATCTACATTTGCAAATGAACAAAGTAGACTACTTTTACAAACGTAAAGGACCTGAATACTTGTTCCTGCAGGAAAGGTAACGGTTTATCCCTGTGACATTTATTTCAAACGTATTTGACCGGACATACAGTAAGGGTGCTAAAAGTAATACCCGTGTCTCTCTCTCTCTCTCCCTCTCTCCCTCCCTGCGGTGACGTCATGATACTGGGCCGCGTTTTGCTGAAACCATAGGAATGCGACACACTTTGTATTTACAGTCTAAAGCTACGGCACTTTTCTATGTGAATGTTCACATTCTATTTTTATCCACAAATGTCAACCTGTGTTCCGGTCCGTTTTTTGATGAAGACGTGTCGACGCTTCCGACGGTTTCACTGAGTTTAATTTGTTCGCGGAAACAACCTTGTTGCTGCAGGGAGTCTGTTTCCCCTCCGTCCTCAGCTGCGTTTCCGACATGACATCAGGTGGATAGTGTGCTGCTGTACTTGGGACTACAAGTGAGTAGGCTTCTCCCGACGATACATAGAGTTTTATTCACGGATTTATTGCCGTTTCATACTTTAACTACTCGTTTTATCGGGCGTAAACCAACATGTTCAACTTCTGGTAGAGCTACTTGGACCGAGCGAAAGTTCATCTGGGCCACAACAACACAACTCTGTTGGTAACATCGCACAGCATGGATTAACAGTGAGTCCGACAAAAAGCATAATAATAACTTTATTGTGTGCCTTGTGTGAAGGGTGGGAGCGAGGGGTGATCTGTTTCACATCGAGAGCCCTGTTGGACTGCCTGTGTCTGCCTGACTGTTACCATTGAAAGCTGTTACTGACTGATCATAATGTGTGTGAGTGTCAGGCAGCTGCTGGACTCCCGGTCATCCGTCTCTTTGCACAAGTGCTGGTGACACACGGAGAGGAGGGGGAGCGCAGGTTGTGGTAGTTATTCACTGCGTATCTTTGTTTTAAACACAGAAGGAAGTTTGGTTGCTCTTTTGTGCAGGAACAATGCTTTTTTTATTGTATGTATCTATAGGGAGTAGCTTGTAGTTCCTTCTCTTAATGAGCTATGAATATATAGAGGATGGTTTTGCCAGTGCGTGATACATGTTATGCTTGTTCAAGTTTGAGTGTTGTAGGGACAGACATTTAGTTATTTCTATGGCAAATATTGAAATATATGATTTTTAAATGGTGTCCTTTATTTCTTCTCTCTTGTTGCCATTAGTGATGTACAAACACTCACAGATGGGTGTTACAACAAAACAGATATCTTCATTAGCTTGCATACCTTACATTTAAAACAATGTAAATTGACCTGACCTTGACTCAGGATTGTTGTACATATAATAAACTGATATGGGATTGAATGAAACATTATCACATCTTCACTTCCCCTCTTAATTGCAAATGTGGTTATTAGTTTATAAAATGACTATTGCTTTTCAGTGAGGATTGTCTTTGCGGACCACACAACAAATATAAGTATGCATAGATTCAATGATAGTCAACAATAACAATATTGGGGGTTTGCTTCTTCATTCATTTTGATTTGCAGCCTACTGAAACGTGTGTCTGAAATGTCATCTTAGAAACAAACTAAGGACTCCAGATGGTCTGGAGTCAAATACATAAGTGTAAAATATATAGTTTCAACCAGATATGTTTCATCATGTATGTGCTATGATGAAAAACTGAAACCTGTTATCTCAGTTCAATGCAGCGTCATGTCATGGGAACTTAAGTAGGCCCAGTGTAACAGCCAGTTGTGCATCTTGACTACCTAATTGACCATAATAGTAGACAGATGTTAGCGGGCACTCAGTCTTGTATTAAAGCTGAGACTGCCACTCATACACAGTATTTTGAACCAGGGGTGGAAGAAGTATTCAAATAGTTTACTCCAGTGAAAGTGCCATAACAACAATGTAAAAAATACAGCATTATAAGTTAAAGTCCTGCACTCAAATCCTACATTTTCAGTAAAATAATCTTTAGGGAAAAAAAATAGAACTACTCATTCTGCTTCAAAATGTTTCTTATTACTGATGTGTGTTATTTTTGACATTATGAGATCGGTAATACTAATGCCTTAATAATACTGATGTGGCAAGTTGTTAGCAACAATTAGCTGTTGTAGCTCTTTAAGGTGGGGCTAGTTTTGTATACTTTTATACTCAAGTATAATGACCTAAAAAGTGCCCTGTAGCACAGTACAGTACTTGTGTCCTTTCACCACTGATGTAGGCAGGCTGATGGTCGTAATCAGTAGCTCTAAGGTCACACGGTGTACGCTATGTTTGCAATGCACTTTATACATCTGGGAAACGCTGGGAGAGAAGTGTTGCCCTTGGTGTGTGTTTGTGTGTGTGTTTGTTGACGTGTGTGGTTTCAGTAGTGAGAAAAACAGGCTATTAATGATCACCCCTGATTCAGCATTAGCAAGCTAATGTAAGAACACCACGACAACGAAGGTAACCTGACTACTGTTGTCTGCTGTTTAGCATGTCATTCTTTAAATCGTGTCTCACTGAAAAGCTAATAAATGTGCTTTCATTTCATAACTTTGCTGAAAGCTGAAACAAAAGGTCGACTAATACATTAGTAACTGTTTTATATTATCTTAAAATTAATATCTTCGGGTTTCGAAATTGTAAACAAGCCATTTAAAGATTTCACCTTGGACCTTTTTTCACTTATTTCTGAGATTTGATAGATGTAATGTTCTTTGGCCTTGGCTGGTAGCTCTGTGTTGTGTACAATTGCTCTTGGAAGGTGACCAGCCCTCATTTAGAGGCAATTCTGAAAATGTGGTCAGCTGCAAAATGTGGGGATTTATCTCACATTGTGGCCCTTATGTGAACAAGGGAGTTTTTATGCATTAATGAAACGTATTCCATGGTTCCAATAACATCCAAGTTGTGCAAGGGAGCGAGTCAGCAACAAACATTATGGCCTCTAACTTGTGGTCACGGAATATCAGTGTACGTAAGGCTACATATATATTAATGAAGATTACCATCCATAGATCTCTTTTGAATCACCATGTATTAAATGGAATTTGGAAGTATTTGATATTTTTTTTATAGAAAGATGATTTGCTCAAAAAGAAGCAGGAGTGGAAGCTCTTCTTGACAAAAGAAGTTTTCTTTTCACAGATTATCTTAAATAAATAAGTACACAGCCTTATTTGCCGTGTTACAAGTTGTTAATAAGGTAAAATACTCCTAACCAAATCTCGGAAGTGAATCACCTAGTCCACTATGATTTATTTGATCTATTTGAAGTGTGTTTACATTGGTCTTCTCAAGCCCTGAGTGTTGTTAGTCTTCTTAGGAAGATAGTTATGCAAGGTATGTCTCAATGGAGCCGCAGACAGAAAATCATTAGAGCGGAGGAGTGTGATGCATAGCACGCTCTCTTTGAGGTGGCTGATGCTGATGATGTGTTTACAAAGTAATGCGTTCATAGGCTTATCAAAAAAAGCAGATCAGTAGTAGTAACCTACTTATGTGAGCTCACCACTGTAGAGATAATACATTTGGTAATGGCAGTTGCAATATAAACTCACATAAGTGTAATGGATCCATCAGTGTAATGGATTTTGGGTGTCAGGTCATTTTTGATTCACGGTAGTTAAATCTAAATACCATTTTCAAATGTTTATCAACATTTGAAAATTATTCCTGTGATTTTGTTTTCAACCGTTCTTTGTCATAACATGTACAAAATGTAATGTTTTCTAAAAACAGATCACTTTTCAAATAACATTCATCATATTGTGTAACATTCGCTGTTCCTATTGCAACTTGATTCCAATTTGGTGGCAAATTTGAGCAACAAAGAAAACCAAGTTATGTTAAAAGCAAACCACCATATACAAACCCCAATTCCAATGAAGTTGGGACGTTGTGTAGACATAAATAAAGAGAATACAATGATTTGCAACCTACTGTATATTAAAGTGCACCTATAATGCAATTTTTAGGCATATATTATGGGTCTCAGATATATACAAATATATAAAAACATGTCTATGTGTTTTTCTCAAAATACAAACAGATCATGCATTTTAGAAATCCCTCATACCCCTCTATTCCAGCCCTGTTTAGAGAAACGCGGATTTTGGGTCCTTAGCTTAAAAAAAAAAGAGGAGGCGGAGCTAATGCCTGATCAGAATTCTACCGGAGATAAAGTTAAATTCTGCTGTGATAACACGCCATCCTGTTCTAAACCACATCAAGGATTATTTCTGAAACAGTATGGAGCTCAAATGCTTTTTCTCTTGCGGGTTTATCACAAGGTGAGTTCCTTTTTAAATTTCCTGCTTTTTAAACACATGCTCTCTCCAGTACAGGTTAGCTCTGAGTGTTAGCGATGCTTGCTAATGTAAACAAATACCATATTACGTCCAAAACACGTCAGGCATTGTTTCTGATAGCAGCTCTCTGTGGGTCCACCATCCGAAATTACTTCATATCGGCAGCAAATCTGTATCCGCTCGTTGTACCCCCGTTTTTAAAAGATGTGGGTACGGAGGAAAAGAGAGGGTTTTATTTTCTGATGCTGCGTGAGTTCCCAGACACTCCGGGGACACATATTTATGTATAAAAGACATCAAAAAGTGCATTTTGCATGATAGGTCCCCTTTAAATTGAATACACTACAAAGACAAGATATGTAATGTCCAAACTGATTAACTTTTGTTTTTTTGGAAATATTCACTCATTTTGAATGTGATGCCTGCAACACGTTCTAAAAAACCTGGTACAGGGGCAACAAAAGTCTGGGGTTGTTGAGGAATGCTCATAAAACACCTGTTTGATATTAACACGTGGGCTCAGGAGCACTTGGGAAAACCATTGTCAGTTTAGTCCGTCGCTACATCTACCAGTGTGAGTTAAAACTCTACCATGGAAAGCCATATAAGCCGTGTAAGGTCGGAAAAAAACAACTCTGTTTTATCCTCAGGCATGGGGCGTTTATCATGAATCTTAATTAGTAGCTTGGCTTTTAAACTAATATCTAATGCCATAACTTTATAGTGAGAATGTATATCAAAGTGTGTTTACTGTGACAGAGCACCCCTATCTGTTGAACACATGTTGCTCTATACACCCATGGCAGGGGCAAATTGCACATCTGTGAAGGCACCATTTAAAGGATTTGCAAATCATTGTATTCTGTTTTTATTTATGTTTTACACAACGTCCCAACTTCATTGGAATTGAGGTTTGTAAAAAAACATCATATCATAAGTTATTTGTCATCATTTAATCAGTCATCTGTTTTGATCCTTTGCCATTGTGATTTTGGACATACTCAGGCATACTTCTGTGTTTATGAATCATTAAGCAAAGTCAAAGTAAAGCACCCTTATGAATTTTGATCTCTTTTCAGTTCCATCCACACCTGTATCTGTGTAGCTTGTAATAGGGTTGTGACTGACGGTGTCTTTTTTCTGAGTGTGGACCACCCGTGCATAACACTTGAATGATGCCAGAGGACAGCGGCTTCACCCAGAGCTTATCAGCCTGCTCTGGCCCACTGAGCAGACAGGCTTTCTCACTGTTCAGCCACGCATACATGAGAGAGGGAGGGAGACAGAGATGAAAAAGTGGGAAGAGGGTGGGAGCCTATTAAAGGGGGAAGGAGAGTAGAAAGAGAGTTTGAGGGTAGTGGTGGGGGTGATTCGATATGGACTTTGAGTAGGCGGGAGGGGAAAACACAGGGAAGCTATAACTCCTGTGATTGTTGTGTTCAGGGAGGGATTCTGCTTGTTTGTCTCTGCGAGAGGAGACGTCCTTTTATAGCTTCTGGTTGACTCGGTGTGTGAGAGCATTAAGAATGTTTGAGTGTGTGGCAGAGTGCAGCAGTGTTGCTCTTCCACTGTATTTATCCTCCGGTTAAAAACTGTGCCTGTCCAAATCCATATACCTTTTGCATAATATCTTTTATATCTTGACTTGTTCAGTGCATATGTTTCCTCCTACCATCCTTACTCAGAGAAACAATATATTTGTGTGACATTTACAGTAAGCCCTGTTGTTTAAGCCAATACAGTTTAGTTTCAAGTAGATGCAATAATTGGAACATGATATCTGCATTTCTCAATTGAAATTGAAAGTATTAAATGTTTCAAATATTAGTAAATGTGTCATATTATATTTAAAGAAATGTGTCTCCACAATTTTATTTCTGAGTAATATTGTTGTGAAATCTAGTTGAACAGCTATGCAAATGATCTTAACAGGTCCTTAAAGTTGAAAAGTGGACATACAGGGAGCTATTCAACATTGTGGGAAAATTGGGTATTACAGTCACCTAAAGAAAGAGTGATTTGTGAAGACCTGGTTTGAGTCTTTTGCTTCTTGAGCCATTTGTTAGTTCAGTCTTTCTTTCCTTTTGAAAAGTGTCAGTAAGAGCAGACACCTGTTGCTCTCATCGTGTTGTCTGACACTGTGGTTTTCACTTCCTGTTTTATGGTGTCGGGGTTATGGAGAGGGTTGTGGTCAGCTGTTTGTGCCGGGCGGGATTGACCATACACCTGCTTCAGCTGTAAATCACTCTCCCTGGCTAAATCCCTGGAGATCACTTGTTCCCCTAACACCTGTCCCACTCTCTATCCGTGGGTAAAAAGGCTTGTGTCCTGCTCGAAATATATACTAGTACATTTGATATAAAACTGAATTAGCCATAATCTTTAGACTCAAAATACATTACTTAATAATCTGCTTTAATTTACATTTATTTACATTCTCATCTTTTACATTCGTGTGCTGAATGGGCTGTATAAAAACAAACTTGTATCACATTCATGTGCATTTATCGTCTACAGAATTGCAGACCCAGATGTAAAGCCCTCCCACTCTTTATGTTTATTCATACTTCAAACAGTTAACTCTGTGCCACCTAAGTTCTCTCTGAAAACAAACACTTTGAGGTCAGAGCTCTGTGATCTGTTAGCTCTTTGCCTACGTAACATTGAAACTTTATTGGCCTGTCTTGGCTCTTGACAGCAGCAGTAACATCTTGTTTTGCACCCACAACTCTTCAAGCTAAGAGTTGCACATATCTCCAGATGCAGAAAGAAGCCATGAATTTGAATGCAGCAATCCTCCATGATCCCCCGCCAGACCGCTGTCTGTGACTCTGAGACGCACAATGTCAATCTCAATACCAACGTGACTGATTTACGCTTTGTTTAAAGCTCCTTACGCTTTCAATAAAACATTACAACTCAAAACATTAACTGACAGCTCTAACTATTCTCGTCTTGCCCATTGTGGTTCTAATCATACTGTAGGTGCCTGCATATACAAACGTATTGGTTCATGTTATTGTACTCTGTAGGTAGTAGGGATGGGAATTTGAAAGCAAATGTATATTCGAATATTCGACCCCCAAAAAAACGGTTAACCGATTAACCGAAATGTACATATCCTATAAAAAAAAAAAAAATGTGGGAAAAATGTAAAACAAATTTAAAACATTTTTTAATTGTGAAAAATAAATAAATACATGTTCAAATAAGTAGTCAAATGTATTGAACTGGTGATCACAGTTTGAACAGTTGGCAGCTATAGGCCTACAGCTTTCATGCTTAAAACATAACTTGGTTTTGTGATGGATTTGGACATAAATGCGAGTGAAGTATAACCGGACGCGAGAGAGAGAGAGAGATCAGCACCTGCAGCTCTGCCCGCTGTGAGGGACCGGTGAGCGGAGCCCTCACAAAATATTCATAACTCATATTCTCATATTCGAATACCTGAATAATTTCGAATATTCGATTAATCGTTCCCATCCCTAGTAGGTAGTATGATTTCTCCTGCCACCTATTCCAGTGTTCATTAGTTGTATCCTTCTAAAAGGCAGTAGTTGCTATGTGTCCCAGAGCTCACATGCATTGATTGGCTGTATTGCTGTCTCAGTCAAACACTAATGATAGTCCTCCTCAGTGATGTATACCCCTCTGCTCTGTTGTCACCACACTCATTAGGACTGGAAAGAGGCATTTATCATTAGTGTTGTAACCCCTCTGTTATTACATACTTTTGCTAGGGTTATAGAATCCAGAGTTGGTAACAGGGTGGAGTAACTGAACATGTGGTAATGGAGCATGGATCATTTAATGATGTGAAATCACTTTTTAAATATGAAGAAACTGGCATTGCATCAATAGTGAACAATCTGATGTAATTTATTTCGAAAAATGTCTATATATTGTGTTAGACCTGCTGCAATGTAGCTTTATTCACCAAACATTTAAGGATGACAGTGAGAGCAACAGATAGGGGTGCTCTGTCACAGGAAACACACTGAAACACACTTTGATATACATTCTCACTATAAAGTTATGGCATTAGATATTAGTTTAAAAGCCAAGCTACTAATTAAGATTCATGATAAACACCCCATGCCTGAGGATAAAGTTGTTAGGAGTTGTTACCCCTTACATTTGTGTGAAAATGTTAGAAGTTGGTAGGTGGGTTGGTGTATAAACTACTGTCCTGCTTGCTTTGCACCATTTAGTAACCAAAAGTCAAGTGCACATATGATAAATATATCCATATTATCAATGAATCCTGATTTTGTTTTTGTGTGTGTTGAAGTTGTGTGTTGTTGCTGTCATTGTTGGCTAGGATCCCCACTTTTTTTGGTGTGTTCCTGGGCGGGTCCTGCTTGACTTCAAACACTCCTGCTGGTAGAAGGCTTTATTAATGCTGCACACTGTGAGCTCTGCAGCATGACTCATGACCTCTAACTGATGACCCGCCCAGATCCCCTTCTTACTCCACCCACCGTCCTCCTTCTACTCCTCACATCCGTGCATTTATTCATTGTCTTGTTTTAGACTTCCCCTGTTTTCTGTTCTTTGATACAGTATTTTAAAGAAAAACAATAAGAGAAGGCTCTGGCAGAACTCAACAGGCCCCTCCGCTCCTGTTGGCCCCTCTGGTCAGCTGCCCAGCAGGGCCTGCTTTTGCTCATAACACACTGATCTCTATCCAGCCTCTGTTTGACTACTGGGAGTGTCTCCTTTGATTCCCACTGACAAACAGCAAGGTTGAGTGGGAGACGGTTTAGACTCAAGCCAGAAACGGTGAGCGGTGTGCTCTGTGTTAAACAGGATAGTTTGTGATTTCAGAAGTCTTCCTACATCTGCAGGTTCATGATTCAAGCTTACCACAACAGCAGCAGAATCATTTGGTTGTACTCATCATGTGGGTTCGTCCGTGATGATGCATTTGTTCTGGTCATTGATTGATATCTGTACAAAGTGTGGCAGTAGAAACAGGTGCATTTCACAGTGCAACACTGGAGGTTTTTATGTTGAATTTGAAGAACAAACCTTCCTATTTTGCAGGATCTTTTACCCACACTTCCCCAGAAATAGAAACAATCGTATGAAAAGTACGGATGTTATAAATAAAACAATTGAATAACACTAATATCAGTTATTGTTGTACTTTTCCTACAGTGACATCTCACAGTGTCTTCTGTGGCAAGAGACATGGTGTTGAGTGCCTGATATTTGGTCCTCCTAGTTGATATTCATAGCACCTCGCCATAAATACCATCCTTGTTGCAGCCATCAAATATCAAGTTGTCCTCAAAGGTAAATGTCACCAGGCAATATGTTTAGATACCAGGGCTGGGAAAAAATTCTCAGAGGCATCCTCTCACTTTCCCTGGAGAATAATAAATAATAAAGGGTGCTTCTGGTTTATGTTTCAGCCAGTGAACTGTCAACAGCAGACTGGACTGTAGTCAGTCTAATACATACACGATAGTGTGTATTGTACAGGAAGTTGCTCAGAGTGACAGTCATAGTAGCATGAGACGGGAAGAAAAGCTGCAAGTGATGACGAGGAAATGTCTCCTTCAGATTGCCGCTGTGATGTCACCCCCCTTCAGGCTGGTTACATTGTTATGCCCATTAGGAAATGCTGGAGCAGGAGCAGTTGTCCTGTCATTAGTATTTAGAGGCCAGCACTGAGCCTATTGTTGGGCCTGCTGATGACCTTCAGCTAAAGGTCACATCTGCTTTAATGCCAGTACACAGCTTAGTGCTCAATGGGCTGAAATAAACAAGTTGGATGGTCATTTATTTCCTGAACTACACACAAGCACATGTTTTGTATAATGGTGATGTGAGTTTTGCAAATACAAGTATTGAGTGATTTCTGAACTTGTATCGTAGTGCATGTTTGGCTTGTTTTACATATGCCACAAGATTTAGATGTCTTCTCAGTCTTTCCTGCTAACCATCCTCTCTTTTCTCGCTCCTCCCTGCAGGTCTGATGCTAGGCTGCAGCTGCCACAGCCGCCATCATGTTCACCAAAAAGAAAAAGTCTCGGATCCAGATCTCCTCTCCATCAAACTTTGAGCATCGCGTACATACAGACTATGACGAGCAGGAGCAAAAGTTTGTTGGTTTGCCACGGCAATGGCATTCTCTCATCGAAGACACTGCCAAAAGGCCAAAACCCTTCATCGACGCCACGGTCATCACTACTGTAGAGCCACGCAAGGTGGGAAAAGCAAGGAATCTAATCAACAATCAAGTCATGGGCTTATCAAAACGAATGTGTTAAACATACCAGCTGTATTTTGACTACATTATACAACATTTGTGTTGGATGATGGTTTAATAACATTACATTTGAGATTTCAACATGACACCAAAATGTCACTTGCTCCAAAAAAGAACTAAAGGAGAAATACCAAATAATGAACACACATGGAAAAAACAAGATAATTACATTAGAGAACAACAAGTTAAGGAAAAATGATTGTCATTATATTTCATCCCAACTCATGCGTGCTACTACAAGATTCTGATGTTAAGCTACCCAAGACATTTACTTGTTATCTTAATTCTTAGATATTTATAAAGTTGGTAGCACTTAATGAAATTATTATCTGTAAAGTTTTGTATGAATGATTTTATTCTGTAACTAAATAGATTTTTTTTTACTGTGATTAGAATCATATAATAGTGCCAATTTCTCATTCATACCACTTTTAAATAGATAAATGGTTTTACCAAAACGGCTAATTGGGATGACAAGCTTTTTATATTACGGCCTCTCATGTTCACTATCCACAAATCTAATTTAATTTTTTTTAATATCTCCAGACAATTGTGCGTGGCAGCAAGCTGGGAGTGGACGGCTCTCTGACATGGCTGTTGGATGAGTTTGACACCATGTCTGTGACACGCTCCAACTCCTTGCGACGAGGCAGCCCCCCAATCCATCCTCGCAAGGACTCAGGCTCTTCAGGAGGAGGGGGGCAGGAGAACGGAGATCCTGACCACAGACACCACCCACACCCGGACAGACAAGACAGGTACAGAGTCAAACTGCAGCATCTTATCTTAATGATGGAAACGGGACCAAAGCAGATGTTATGTCAATACCAGCCGATGAGGCATTTCACCACATGTTTCTGATTTTTGCTTCTCAGAGACCGACCCAGACCAGACCACCATGCGGGTGGAGGTGACCCCCGCCAGGGTCCACGTGCACTCCGCCCTCCTCAGTGGGAGGAGGGCGGTCAGGGTCGGCCTCAGCAGCAGCCCCGGGGCCAAGAGCCCAGCCGGGCCCACAGGGATAGACCGGGCTCCGGGCCCCCTCCCCCACCTCACAGAGACAGAGAGCATCGGGACCGGGACCAGGTGGGGCTGCAGCTTCACATTTATTGATGATGAAATCTAGTAATTGCTGTTGACAGGACTCAAATGGCTCTTTTTTTTATCTTCACGACGAACATGCTCATCTTTGTATATCCATTGATATATCCTTACATTTGACAAGCCATCTACCTAATGATCCGTCCATCTCTCCACGAAACCCTGCCTCTTTTCAGATGGATCAACCAAGTGACCAAAGGCCAAAGTCCAGCTACATGGTGCGGGACGGCAGCCCTCAGTCTCCCAGGGACAAAAGGCCTCTCTCTGGACCTAACATCCGCACCCCTAACCTGCCAGTATCAGAGGGGGTGATGAAGACCACACAACAGAACACACGGCCATTCAACACCTACCCCAGGACGGACAGTGAGGGCGGACGCAGCCCCACGGGACAGGTATGGACAGCAGCGTGGACAGAGGGAGGGCAGCCCAGAGGGAAGCTATTGACCGAGAGAGAAAAGGCAGACAAGTGCAAATTGAGCTAACAGCTGATGGATGACAGCTCTGATCACCTTGCTCTGATCACCTTGCTCTTTGTTCAGCAGTCAGCAATGCTTGTGAGAGAATTCAAGCAGTTCAAGTTGAGGGCTTTTTTTTTTAAACACAGCTTTATGCCAAAGGGCTTTAAAGAATTATGTAATGAAAGCAAATGTAAACTATTCAGACAGTTCAGAGGGAAATGCACTTAAAGATTAGATGTTAGCTTTTTTTGGATTTGAAATGAACAGTAAATCAAAGATCTTCCCACATCATATATGGGAGGCTTGTGGCGCAGTGGATAGAGCCTTGGTATGGGGATCAGATGGTCACAGGTTCAAACCCCACTGCAGTCAGCATGTCATTGTGTCCCTGGGCAAGACACTTCACCCCAAAGTGCTCCTGTGGGGATTGCCCATAGTACTGAGTATGTAAGTCGCTTTGGATAAAAGCGTGACAAGTGACATGTCATGTAATGTAATGTATACCATACCCTCTGATATCCCTGTAAGGTCTTTCCTGGTCATTTTGATCATCAGTCAGCAAGTTATTGTTCCATTTGATCAGTTCTTGTCTTTTGCATAAATTGAAAGTACTTGGATTTTCCAGGTATTTCATTTGCTAGTATACTCTTAAACAGACAAATCTTTTTTGTAATTTTATCTATAAAAAGTTTTTTTCTGGCAAAATTAATATATCTTGTGAAATCAAATTCCATATTCTCTAACAGAGGATTCACTCCATATTGCCCCTTCCTACTATATAAATGGGGTATTCATATTCTATATAAATAATACATCTACAACGCCTGAAAGACTATTTGCTGTAGATTGTTATACTCGGCCTATGTTGCGTTTGTGATGAGGGTCTCTCTTTGCAGCCTGTGCGACACCATGAGTCTCCTCAGAACGGCCCCTCCAGCGGCTCCTCTCGAGGTTCCTCCAGCTCCAAGCCCCCTGTAAGCCACCCGCACCCTCATCACACATCCCATCCCAGCCTGACCCCTGAGGCTACCCAGCACCCACACACCCCTCACCCAAGCGTTCCAGCCCCCCGGCCCCCAGCACCCTCTGGGCCCCCGGCCCCAGGTGCTCCGCCCCAGGGCCGCTCGCCGCAGAGGGAGCCCCAGAGGGTTTCTCATGAGCAGTTCAGAGCAGCGCTACAGATGGTGGTGGATCCTGGTGATCCGAGGACCTACCTGGACCACTACATCAAGATAGGGGAGGGGTCCACCGGGATCGTCTGTATTGCCACGGTGAAGACCACCGGGAAGCTGGTGGCTGTGAAGAAGATGGACCTGAGGAAACAACAACGCAGAGAACTCCTCTTCAACGAGGTGAGACTTTATGATCTAGTGAAGGCTCTGGTTCAAATAGTTACCACTGTTGTACGTTATGTTCTTTCTCTTTACCAATGACACCTCACCGAAATGTTTATCTGAAACTGAGAATTGTAAATATTTGTTTTATATCAAAAGTTCTCTTTTGTGTGTGCTTCACCACCATCTGTACAAGAGATATCATTTGAACAGATTAAGACATTTTGCTGGTTAAATCTATGATGTTTTCTTTATTAGGTACACCTTTACAAATGATTGCAACTCAATACAACAGCTCTGTCATAAAATAAACAGAAACAAGTTAGTAGTCTTTACATTTTGTTGACATGCGTGGAAATGTTTACATTAAGTTCATATTTATTACTGAAGTCATAGTTGTACTGGACTACATTACATTTAGACATTTTTCCAAAGGGTTTTTTCTGCCTCCTAACTCGTATGAATATTAGAAACACCTCTTAATGTAATGCTGTACAGAACACGCAAATCACTACACCTCTATACAACTATAAGACCGGTCTGTAAACTTCTGACAAGATCCTTAAGACCAGAACAGAACTATGGCTGTCTTTCTTCTGTTATTAACAATTAGATGTTAAGATCTATAAGTGTGAAGAGGAAGCTCCATTCTTACCTCAAGCTTATTTTGGAGTCATAGAATTCACAAATAAAGACAGCAGAGCAGTAGACAGGTTATGAAAGCCTGTCTCACACTCGGCTCATACAGCCTTTAAACGATGGAATGAAATGTAACACATCTGACATAATAGGTCAGAACTGCTCTCAGTAGAAATGACAGGTTACATGTATTTGCAGGTGGTAGAGCACACAGCTCCACTTCACACTCACAGTTGCTAATTGACACTTTTAGTCACTTTCAAGCTACAGTGTGTTATCAACAGCAAAATCAGTACACACACACACACACACACACACACACACACACACACACACACACACCCCCTACCTGCAGGGCCTCTCTTTTGAGTCCATGTAATTAAATTATACCATAACCGTGTTTCCGTGGTGACTGCAGGTGGTGATCATGCGGGACTATCACCATGACAATGTGGTGGAGATGTACAACAGCTACCTGGTAGGAGACGAGCTCTGGGTCGTCATGGAGTTCCTGGAGGGAGGAGCTCTCACTGACATTGTGACACACACCAGGTGAGAGAAAAAAACCTTTAATGCCTTTAAATGGTTATTATGTAGCAGATGTTAACCACTGTATATGACCTTTTATTCTCTAAAAACTTGTTTTACATGATTTCAACCTGTTATTGTATAAATACCGCTTCTCCATTCATCTGTATTCTGCTTTAAAGGGGACCTATCATGCAAAATGCACTTTTGTACGTCTTTTATACATGAATATGTGTCCCCGGTGTTCCAGGGAACTCACCAAGTGTCAGAAAACACAACCCTCTCTATTTTCCTCCATACCCAAATCTCTAAAAAAGGGGCTGCAACGGATCTGATAAAAACTGATCCAGATTTGAACACTGTCCTGACGTCAGGGCGGTGGCGCTACGGCTATTGGGCCAACTCCACCAATCAGGAGGAGACAGCCACGGCCATTGCCGTTCGAAAGCGCTGGAGAGGCTGTAGTACATATGCAGGGGTGCACACAACTTTCTCAGTGAGGTACCTGGAGTCAGTGTTTGGTACTCCAACTTCTGCCGATTGTCAACGGGGGGGGGGGGGGGCTGACAGTGGAGTACAGCGCTTCGCGATTGTTGACGGGGGGGGGGGGTGGAATACAGCGCTTCGTGACCGCGGGGCGTGTGAACGTTGTCATCAGCTGTTTTAGCGCAGGGCTGCTGTACAGACCGACGTTAACAGCAGCCCTGTCTGTGCACACGGAGACCAACTCTGTCGTCCGGTGATCTAACCGCCTTCTGGAAAAGCTTCACAAGTACGTCGGTACGCAAATGCGCTTTGTGACACAAGTGACGGTACGCATTTGAGATTGTTGTCGCGCATGCGTACCTGCGTACCAGTTATGTGCACCCCTGTACATATGCCAGGCCAGTAGATGGTGCTGTTCTCACTGAATCTGCCCTTGCTAAAACAGATCTAAAAAATGTCAAATTGAGCAAAATGAGGCATGGCTAAAATGCATGATCTGTTTGGTATTTTGAAAAAAAAAAGGTATAAATATGCCTTATATAGGTATGGTCCTACACTATATTATTCAAATATAGCATGATAGGTCCACTTTAAATTTGAAATCCCCAATTCACCAACATTGTGTTTTTCCACAAGGGGGCGGTGTTGCCCTATTTATTTTCTTCATTAATAAAATGAGCAATACTACAGTGTAAAAAGACTCTGTTTCTAGTCAAAGTCATGCATTCTTACTTAAAGGTAGGGTAGGTAAGTTTGAGAAACCGTCTCGAGATACACTTGTTATATTCCATGGAATGCTCTCAACATCCATAAAAAAATATCATCTGTGGAAGCCGTAGTACTGTAAAAAGCACGACCAATCATTTTAGCCGGCCCGGCTAAAATAATTGGATGGCCTACCTGCCTGTCAGCCTTCCATCTGTGCACAAACTTATCTCGTGCCCTCATTGGTCATGTGCGCGTTCGTGTGTGTTGGAGGAGGGGCTCTATAAGGAAGTGGCAGATTTTCTCCGGTTGTGTATTTTCAAATTCTAGCGATCTCGAGCCGGTTTCTCCAAACTTACCTACCCTACCTTTAAGTAATAGGCCCATTTCAGGATGATAATCATTTATGCAATTAATGTCTATTCACTTAGTTGTTATAATGCAGGTGCTCATTTCATCACTGCATCTACTGAGTGAAACGTATTCTATAATAATGTATTTTATAATCATCTGAAAAGACTAAAGCTGTCACTTGTAAAGTAGGGAAAACGAAATAAAGGAGCAAGTGAAATACAAGTACATCAACATTGTACTTGAGTAGATATATTAATTGACTTACCACCATGGTGTGTCATTTTACATTATCTATTTAATTGTCATTCTCAGTTGTAATTGAGTGTTTTCCTCTCTTGGAGCTACCAATCATTAATATGGCTTCAGAGATGACTGTAGAGTGAACCTGAATCAAACGGTGTTGATAGAAGTGCATACAAAGGGTGTAAATCTGTGTCCTGCAGGATGAACGAGGAGCAGATTGCCACGGTGTGTCTGTCTGTCCTGAAGGCGCTGTCTGTCCTCCACACACAGGGTGTGATCCACAGAGACATCAAGAGTGACTCCATCCTCCTCACTCATGATGGCCGCGTATGTACCACATTCTTCACACTGGATAAAACGGCACCTTAGTTCTCTTTAGAGGCATTTCAAACTCATTAAAGCTGTCAAAAGCAAAAGAGTGCAGAACATCTGTTCCTGAGCTGCCCAGTCAGAACAAGTGTGTTCATTATGCGCTTTAGTAGCAGCAAACATCCACTTTTATCAGTCGAACCACAACAAGCATTTCTTCTCAGACATCTCGGGAAGTCATAGAGGGACATGAGCAGGTGTAGTGAGTAACAATAATTGTTGATTTGTTTCATTTAAATTATCAAATGAGCCATCGTCATGCAGCGATCATTTATATCCTTCCTGCTTTGAGATGTTACATGCCTGTTGTGATAAAGGGTTTAGGGCATCACATGTATCTCACTGCACTGCAGCCCCTGACATAACGTCACAAGTTGTTGTAAGAATGAAAATACATTACTGTGTTGTCTTTGTTAACCACAGCTGTTAAACTGGGAGTGTTACCAGATCACTTCCTGACCATTTGAAGGCAGGTTTCTGCTTTCAGTAGAAAATGAAACCAACCTGGTTAGACCAGAGGAAAATGGAAGTTGTTTCTTGTGTGTCACAGTCCTCGTCAGTAGTGGAATGTTATTAAGTACAAATGTGAGGTTCTTGTAGTTACTTACATATTTGCATTTTATGCAGCTTTATACTTCTACACCTTTTGAAGTAAATATTGTACTTTTCCATCCCTGTCCTTTTGTGTAAAAAAAACACATAACTCCAGATGTGTTAATTTTGAGTTTTCGTAATGAACTAAAGTGTTTTTTTATGTGTTGAGAACATATTTATACTTTTTAATCTAAATAAAAGACTCTCGGATCGGCTGTAAAATATGTATAGCATACTAAAGAATCAAAATACTTCTAGCACTTTGTTTTAGTACATAAGACCGTGACTCAGTGTGTCGGATGCTGCGGAGTGCACAGGAGTGGTTCTGCTGAGTTGAGCTTTTAACCACAATTCTACCATTTAAGCAAGGCCGACAATTTGTGGCAAGTTTTCTGCTAAATGCCGTCAGAGCTTATGTGAAACTGGTGTCTTGTTCACATTGTTAGATCACAAAGATGACAAATGTTGTAAATAATTTGACAAAATGTGTCATTTTCTGCCAAGCGTACCGCATCCTTTGTTTGTTAATCAATTTGTTTATAATAGGTTAATAGGCATATGTGTCTCAGTCTCTTGCACCATCACATATAATATCTTGTTTGTGCAAGTCACAGATGTGATGCTAAGACGGCCTAAGGTGTTAACCACAGCGCCTTTGATGACAGCTGACGTGAGTTTGTGGTTTGTGTCTTTATGAGCTGTGGTGTACGGCAGTATGCATGGCCAGAGAGGCCTCTGGGACACTGACGGGCTTCTTCAGCATTGTTGTCCTCTGTGAGGAACAGAACAAGGCAGGGGCTGCTTCATGTTGCTCATACTTCATGGACAATGTGTTTAATAGTACATCTGATAATAGTGATCGTTATATGATATGGGAAGGTTTGTTATATATGTTTGCTTTGCATGGTGCATGTATACTTTTCCAGTCCTGTGATTTCCCCCCTGTGGACACAGCATCAGTGTTTCTAATGGTGGCCATTTCATGTAACAGTGTATAAGTGTCAGACATTACAAACGGAATGAAAGCATCTGCCAGCACCAAATGTCTTCAAGAATATTTTGAAGTACTTTCTTAAAACTTTAAGAAAGTATTTCAAAATAGGAAGCAGTTGATGTTTCTTTATGTTTATATAACTTTTGGTGGTAGATTCATTTGTAAACACTGAACTCAATTAAAGATGTATCAAATATTTGGAGTTACATCACAGAAAAGCCTTTCTGTGTGACCTGGGTGTGCCTGCAGGCTGCTGAGGGCAGATGGTGTGAGGTGGGTCTGAGGGGCTGCCCGCTGTGGGCCGGGAGGGGAGGCAGACCCCACCAAGCCTGATGTGTTCCTCGTCAGTATGGCGGTGTATCTGATGCAGCGTATCTGATGCAGTGTATCTGATGCAGCGGTGTATCTGATGCAGCGGTGTATCTGATGCAGCGGTGTATCTGATGCAGCGGTGTATCTGATGCAGCGGTGTATCTGATGCAGTGGTGTATCTGATGCAGTGGTGTATCTGATGCGGCGTATCTGATGCAGCGTATCTGATGCAGCAGTGTATCTGATGCAGCGTATCTGATGCGGTGTATCTGATGCGGTGTATCTGATGCGGTGTATCTGATGCAGTGTATCTGATGCGGTGTAGTGTATCTGATGCAGCGGTGTATCTGATGCAGCGGTGTATCTGATGCAGCGGTGTATCTGATGCAGCGGTGTATCTGATGCAGCGGTGTATCTGATGCAGCGGTGTATCTGATGCAGCGGTGTATCTGATGCAGCGGTGTATCTGATGCAGCGGTGTATCTGATGCAGCGGTGTATCTGATGCAGTGGTGTATCTGATGCAGTGGTGTATCTGATGCGGCGTATCTGATGCGGCGTATCTGATGCGGCGTATCTGATGCGGTGTATCTGATGCTGTGTATCTGATGCGGTGTATCTGATGCGGTGTATCTGATGCGGTGTATCTGATGCGGTGTATCTGATGCGGTGTAGTGTATCTGATGCGGTGTAGTGTATCTGATGCAGCGGTGTATCTGATGCAGTGTATCTGATGCAGTGTATCTGATGCAGCTGTGTATCTGATGCAGCTGTGTATCTGATGCAGCTGTGTATCTGATGCAGCTGTGTATCTGATGCAGCGTATCTGATGCAGCGGTGTATCTGATGCGGTGTATCTGATGCGGTGTATCTGATGCGGTGTATCTGATGCAGCGGTGTATCTGATGCGGTGTATCTGATGCGGTGTATCTGATGCGGTGTATCTGATGCAGCGGTGTATCTGATGCAGCGGTGTATCTGATGCGGTGTAGTGTATCTGATGCGGTGTAGTGTATCTGATGCGGTGTAGTGTATCTGATGCGGTGTAGTGTATCTGATGCGGCGTAATGCGGCGTATCTGATGCGGCGTATCTGATGCGGCGTATCTGATGCGGCGTATCTGATGCAGCGGTGTATCTGATGCGGTGTATCTGATGCGGTGTATCTGATGCGGTGTATCTGATGCGGTGTATCTGATGCGGTGTATCTGATGCGGTGTATCTGATGCGGTGTATCTGATGCGGTGTATCTGATGCGGTGTATCTGATGCGGTGTAGTGTATCTGATGCGGTGTAGTGTATCTGATGCAGCGGTGTATCTGATGCAGCGGTGTATCTGATGCAGCGGTGTATCTGATGCAGCGGTGTATCTGATGCAGCGGTGTATCTGATGCAGCAGTGTATCTGATGCAGCTGTGTATCTGATGCAGCTGTGTATCTGATGCAGCTGTGTATCTGATGCAGCGGTGTATCTGATGCAGCGGTGTATCTGATGCGGTGTATCTGATGCGGTGTATCTGATGCGGTGTATCTGATGCAGCGGTGTATCTGATGCGGTGTATCTGATGCGGTGTATCTGATGCAGTGGTGTATCTGATGCGGCGTATCTGATGCAGCGTATCTGATGCAGCGTATCTGATGCAGCGGTGTATCTGATGCGGTGTATCTGATGCGGTGTATCTGATGATGCGGTGTATCTGATGCAGCGGTGTATCTGATGCAGCGGTGTATCTGATGCAGCGGTGTATCTGATGCAGCGGTGTATCTGATGCGGTGTATCTGATGCAGCGGTGTATCTGATGCAGCGTATCTGATGCGGTGTATCTGATGCGGTGTATCTGATGCAGTGTAGTGTATCTGCTGCGGTGTAGTGTATCTGATGTAGCGGTGTATCTGATGCAGCGGTGTATCTGATGCAGCGGTGTATCTGATGCAGCGGTGTATCTGATGCAGCGGTGTATCTGATGCAGCGGTGTATCTGATGCAGCGGTGTATCTGATGCAGCAGTGTATCTGATGCAGCAGTGTATCTGATGCAGCGTATCTGATGCAGCGGTGTATCTGATGCAGCAGTGTATCTGATGCAGCAGTGTATCTGATGCAGCGTATCTGATGCAGCGTATCTGATGCAGCGGTGTATCTGATGCGGTGTATCTGATGCGGTGTATCTGATGCGGTGTAGTGTATCTGATGCAGCGGTGTATCTGATGCAGCTGTGTATCTGATGCGGTGTATCTGATGCGGTGTATCTGATGCAGCTGTGTATCTGATGCAGCTGTGTATCTGATGCAGCTGTGTATCTGATGCAGTGTATCTGATGCAGCGGTGTATCTGATGCAGCGGTGTATCTGATGCAGCGGTGTATCTGATGCGGTGTAGTGTATCTGATGCGGTGTAGTGTATCTGATGCGGCTTAGTGTATCTGATGCGGCGTATCTGATGCGGCGTATCTGATGCGGCGTATCTGATGCAGCGGTGTATCTGATGCAGCGGTGTATCTGATGCAGCGGTGTATCTGATGCGGTGTATGTGATGCGGTGTATCTGATGCGGTGTAGTGTATCTGATGCGGTGTAGTGTATCTGATGCAGCGGTGTATCTGATGCGGTGTATCTGATGCGGTGTAGTGTATCTGATGCAGCGGTGTATCTGATGCAGCGGTGTATCTGATGCAGCGGTGTATCTGATGCAGCGGTGTATCTGATGCAGCGGTGTATCTGATGCGGCGTATCTGATGCAGCGTATCTGATGCAGCGGTGTATCTGATGCGGTGTATCTGATGCGGTGTATCTGATGCGGTGTATCTGATGCGGTGTAGTGTATCTGATGCAGCGGTGTATCTGATGCAGCGGTGTATCTGATGCAGCGGTGTATCTGATGCAGCGGTGTATCTGATGCAGCTGTGTATCTGATGCAGCTGTGTATCATCTGATGCAGCGGTGTATCTGATGCAGCGTATCTGATGCAGCGTATCTGATGCAGCGTATCTGATGCAGCGGTGTATCTGATGCGGTGTATCTGATGCAGCGGTGTATCTGATGCAGCGGTGTATCTGATGCAGT